TAAAGTGCCAGAACTATCTCTGTTTCTTTTTAAAAGTCTGCGTTCTCTATACCAATGCAGTTATTCAAACTTGTTACTTCTGGCCTGATGAGCTATGGGTTGCGAATGCCTGTAATGTTGGTACCATATTTATTTGCGCAAGATATTCAACAAAACCTAACTCTGAAACTCTACTTTCACTAGCATCAGTTGGCCATTGGCGTATTCAGTATGGTAGGAAGAATATACAAGTGGACAAGAGTACAAGTTCTTTTTTTAATGAGCAAATAACTATTCTGTTGATAAATAGGTACATTTAAGAATTAAAAGAAAAAAACATTCTTTCTTTCCATACATTATATATCTACTCCAACTAAGAGGGTTCAAACAGACTAATTAAGCATGTTTAGAAACACTTAGGGATTTCAGAGTAGTTAGATTGATGAATGTTTGATTGTCTTTATATATTTTTTATTCAGATCTGGCACAGCAGGTGGTACTATTTTCAATGTGGATAATCATATTTAAACATTCAATTACAAGGAATAAAGTTGAAACAGAGATAATCTGTTAAACTTGATTGACATTACTTATGAATCCAATTTAAATAAGAGCATGTTTTAAGTAGTTGAACAATTTAAACATAAACTATTCCACTTCCATTGTATTGGTAGGTTTGGAAATATAATGTTTGTCATTGATTTTCATGTTTACACAAACTCCTTGAAGATTTGTTGGGCAAACTACTTCATATTCTTCAGTTAACTTATATTCAGCTACGTTGGGTACAAATACTTCTGGAATTAGGGTCTTGAATTTCTTCACAACTTCACACTTTTTGACCAGGGCAATAATTTTACTGTCACACGAACAATTGATGCATTCACAGTTATACACTCTCAGAAATGTTTCAATGAAACCAACATTCGATTCATTGCATGTATTGTACACTGCAACACTGGAATCACGGCACACTCCCAAGGCTTGATCTACTGCGGTAACTGTCCTGATCATCGTCGTGTTGCTGCTCGGCCTGTTACAAGGGGAGGGAATGAAAAATTAAATATAATAATTATTGTATTTTTAATTAATTATTGCATTCTTTGTTGTGAAATATGGCTATATCCTGTAAAAAGTGATTGGTACTAACCTCAACATTCTCCTGTACACCAGGTGCCTGCCGGCGCTGCTCTTCTTCTCTAGCTCGGTATCGCTCAGCCGACTCCGGGCTACGAACGTTAGTGTCATGATCGTATTGCTTGTAAGGGCCTCGTACTCGCCTCATTTCTTCCTCGTTAAGTTCAAGAGGAGTCCTTTCTGAACGAGTTTGTCCAAAAGTATTCGTCTAAGCGTCCAAAGACTGCGTTGTTTACATCTGGTGTCACCATAACCACCACCTCCGCAAAAGCACACCACCTGATCGGAAAGAAAAATGTTGGAAAGTGGCTCTCTTCTAATAATTTAAAACAGGATAATTGTTTGACAACTTGACTTTCTCAAAATTTACCACTAGCTGTATGTACGCCAGACCACGTCTCACGTAACAGGCTTCGCGATATCTCACGAAACACTGTTACGCTGCGACACGCCTGGCGCACATATAGCTAGGCCTGCGGCGCTGACACCCGAGACGGGGTAATAGGAGTGTATATACAAGTTTTCGAAATGAAGTCTTTTTGTTAACGATTTAATCGGCCATTTGCTCATTTTCTCCTCATTTTTGTCAAGAAATGCCCCCTAGCACCTAAACGGTACAAGATAGAGCCAAACGGACGGAATTTTCGCCCAAAGGGCTCTACTTTGACGGTTTACCCCTTAGAAACGCATAAAAAAATATTTGATAAGAATACATTTTGCGACCTGTAGTTTTTGATTTTTTAAAAAGCCAATTTTTGAGCTAGAATGCTCATCTTCGAACTCGATCTGTCTTTTTATGATACAAAACGACCCTGAAATTCCCAGATC